CCTGACACTTATAGTATGGTCTCTTAACGTGCTAGTGACACCCCTGCTTTTCATTGGGGGGATGTTGCATCGTCTGCCAAGTCTTTTGCTTTCGTAGCGAGTGATTTTCGTTTGCAAGTTCGGTACTAGTCCCTCTAGGATTTTCCAGGTGTTTATAATCATGTATCTCTCCTGCCTGCATTCCAGGGAATACAGGTTCAGGAACCTCATGCGCTCCCAGTAATTGAGGTGTTTTATCTCAGTTATGCGTGCCATGAAGGTTCTCTGTACATTTTCTAGGTCAGCAATTTCACCTGCCTTGAAAGGTGCTGTTAGTGTGCAGCAATATTCCAGCCTAGATAGAACAAGTGACCTGAAGAGTGTCATCATGGGCTTGGCCTCCCTAGTTTTGAAGGTTCTCATTATCCATCCTGTCATTTTTCTAGCAGATGCGATTGATACAATGTTATGGTCCTTGAAGGTGAGATCCTCCGACATGATCACTCCCAGGTGTTTGACGTTGGTGTTTCGCTCTATTTTGTGACCAGAATTTGTTTTGTACTCTGATGAAGATTTAATTTCCTCGTGTTTACCATATCTGAGTAATTGAAATTTCTCATCGTTGAACTTCATATTGTTTTCTGCAGCCCACTGAAAGATTTGGTTGATGTACCACTGGAGCCTTGCAGTGTCTGCAATGGAACACACTGTCATGCAGATTCGCGTGTCATCTGCAAAGGAAGAGGCGGTGCTGTGGCTGACATCCTTGTCTATGTCGGATATGAGGATGAGGATGAGGAACAAGATGGGAGCGAGTACTGTGCCTTGTGGAACAGAGCTTTTCACCGTAGCTGCCTCGGACTTTACTCTGTTGACGACTACTCTCTGTGTTCTGTTAGTGAGGAAATTATAGATCCATCGACCGACTTTTCCTGTTATTCCTTTAGCACGCATTTTGTGCGCTATTACGCCATGGTCACACTTGTTGAAGGCTTTTGCAAAGTCTGTATATATTACATCTGCATTCTTTTTGTCTTCTAGTGCATCTAGGACCTTGTCGTAGTGATCCAATAGTTGAGACAGACAGGAGCGACCTGTTCTAAACCCATGTTACCCTGGGTTGTGTAACTGATGGGTTTCTAGATGGGTGGTGATCTTGCTTCTTAGGACCCTTTCAAAGATTTTATGATATGAGATGTTAGTGCTATCGGTCTGTAGTTCTTTGCTGTTGCTTTACTGCCCCCTTTGTGGAGTGGGGCTATGTCTGTTGTTTTTAGTAACTGTGGGACGACCCCCGTGTCTATGCTCCCTCTCCATAGGATGGAAAAGGCTCGTGATAGTGGCTTCTTGCAGTTCTTGATGAACGCGGAGTTCCATGAGTCTGGCCCTGGGGCAGAGTGCATGGGCATGTCATTTATCGCCTGTTCGAAGTCATTTGGCGTCAGGATAACATCGGATAGGCTTGTGTTAACCAAATTCTGTGGCTCTCTCATAAAAAAAATCATTTTGATCTTCGACTCTCAGTCTGGTTAGCGGCTTGCTAAAAACTGAGTCATATTGGGACTTGAATAGCTCACTCATTTCCTTGCTGTCATCTGTGTAGGACCCATCTTGTTTAAGTAGGGGCCCAATACTGGACGTTGTTCTCGACTTTGATTTGGCATAGGAGAAGAAATACTTTGGGTTTCTTTCGATTTCATTTATGGCTTTTAGTTCTTCCCGCGATTCCTGACTCCTATAAGATTCCTTTAGCTTAAGTTCGATGCTTGCTATTTCTCTGACCAGTGTCTCCCTACGCATTTCAGATATATTGACCTCTTTTAGACGCTCTGTTATTCTTTTCCGTCGCCTGTAAAGGGAGCGCCTGTCTCTTTCTATTTTACATCTACTTCTCCTTTTTCTTAGAGGAATAAGCCTTGTGCATACATCGAGTGCCACCAAGTTAATCTGTTCTAGGCATAAGTTGGGGTCTGTGTTGCTTAGTATATCTTCCCAGCTTATATCGGTTAGGACTTGGTTTACTTGGTCCCATGTTTTTGATATGGTGACATTTCTTATCAGATCATCATTGTTAGTGAAGATGAGGTCTAGTGTATTCTCCAGTCTAGTAGGGTCTATTATTTGCTGGTTTAAATTGAATTTTGTGCAGAGATTTAAAAGCTCGTGTGTGTTTGAGTTTTCATCAGAGCTGCCTCCTGGTGTTATTACTGCAACAATATTATTTGCTATATTCCTCCATTTTAGGTGCCTTAAGTTGAAATCCCCCAGGAGCAAGATGTTGGGTGCAGGAGCTGGAAGATTTTCCAGACAGTGGTCAATTTTTAGCAGCTGTTCCTGGAATTGCTGGGATGTTGCATTCGGAGGCTTGTAGACTACCTCAATGACTAGGTTTTGGTTAGTAAGTAAGTAAGTAAGTAAGTTTATTCAGGTATACACAAATACAGTTACATAGAATTATCATACATAGCAGCATATGTGTAGAGAACCTAGGATAACCCAAAAAAGTCAGACAGAGTTACTTATTTCCATTGGGGTCCTTTTACCTTATTATTATAATATAAAGGTTATAATATTTTATTATTCTACAATGAAGATAACATCTTATTATCATACTAAAAAGACTATCTACTACACGAGGGTCATTAAGACTATCTACAATACGAGGGGATTACTAGGAATAAGGTAAAATTTACACGTATGTTAGCTAAAAAATAGAAAATCATTCCCCTCCCTTTCTGTAGCTACATTCATCAGACACCTTTTGGCACTCTTCTTGAACTGGTTCATGCTATGACTGGCTTTGACATGTGCGGGCAGTCTGTTCCATTCCTTTATTGCTGTACAATAAAAAGTGTTTGAAGCCTGGCCACTGACTGTGGGTACTACAAAGTTGTGCTCTCTCCCCTAGTACTATGATTGCTTTGGTTCCCAACCTTGACAAAATTGACAGCAAGATATTCTGGACATTGTTTGTGAGCAATTTTATAAACATGATTTAGCTTCAGTTGTTTTACTCTGTCTTCAACATTCAGCATATCCAACTTCTGTAATTCATCCTGGCCTACATGTTCTCTTGGTCCCAGCCCCAGGATGAATCTTACGATTTTGTTCTCGACCTTTACTGCTAAAACTTCCACTACATCATTTGAGGCATTAAGCAGTTCTGTGCAAACAAGTGACTCTGCAATGTACAGGCCAACCCCCCCATTTTGCCTGTTCACTCTGTCACATCTGTATAGGTTGTAACCTGGGATCCATATTTCGTTGTCCAAGTGATCCTTTATGTGGGTCTCAGTGAAGGCCGCGAACATTGCCTTTGCCTCTGCAAGCAGTCCACGGATGAAAGGTATTTTGTTGTTTGTTGCTGGCTTTAGACCCTGTATATTTGCAAAGAAGAATGTCATCGGACTGGTGGTATTGTTGGTACTGGGGGGGGATTTTTTTTTCCGGCATTAGTATCTGTATCTGTTGGTCGACTAACACCCAGGTACCCAGTATTACTGATGGATGAACATAAACAACGGGTGTAAAGAAACACGCCCAATGTTTCTACCCTTGCCGGGAATCGAACCTGTTCCCTGGCCGTGCGAAACGAGAGCTTTAACCATCAGGCAACTAGACTTCAGGCAACTGCTACACTCCAACCAAGTGCTAGAGTCTAGCAGGATGAACATGGACAACAGGTGTAAGGAAACAAGTCCAATGTTCCTACCCTTGCCGGGAATCGAACCCGGACGTCAGTGTGTGTAGCAAGTTTTACCTAGCTGGCAAAACACCACAAGATGGTATCTACATGGCAATATAAACACAAATGCAGTATAATGTGATCCTTTATTGACTACGTTTCGCCCACACAGTGGGCTTTTTCAAGTCACAAATAGAACTACCTGGGGTGGAAGGAACGCGAGTATTTATAGTCCGGCTGAGGTCAGGTGAAGAATGCTGCATCTGATGATGTACCGAGTGGGGTTATAGAGTCTAAAAACTTGGGTAGCTTAGAAAGGAGATTGGATAAGTTTGTGAGCAGACCTTCTACAGTGTTCTTATGTGGGATAGCGATGAAGAAGTTTCTTGGCAAGTGGTTCAGCTATGTTATAGAAGCCACTATTCTGGTTGAAGTTGTCTATATCCGACAACTTCAACCAGAATAGTGGCTTCTATAACATAGCTGAACCACTTGCCAAGAAACTTCTTCATCGCTATCCCACATAAGAACACTGTAGAAGGTCTGCTCACAAACTTATCCAATCTCCTTTCTAAGCTACCCAAGTTTTTAGACTCTATAACCCCACTCGGTACATCATCAGATGCAGCATTCTTCACCTGACCTCAGCCGGACTATAAATACTCGCGTTCCTTCCACCCCAGGTAGTTCTGTTTGTGACTTGAAAAAGCCCACTGTGTGGGCGAAACGTAGTCAATAAAGGATCACATTATACTGCATTTGTGTTTATATTGCCATTGTGTCGGTATTTTATACCATTTATTTCCATGGTATCTACATAATGTGCACTTCGACTCGACTGTCTATAATCCTGTTAGGGGACTCACGAGCAGTGACAGTAGTGCATATATAACTCCTCCAATACAGTATACCTTTAAGTAAATCAGTTAAGTGATCTGTTAGCTGTACAGTGTGCTAGCATCACCAGGCCTGGTGGGTAAAGCTCTCGCTTTACACACGGAGGGCCCGGGTTCGATTCCCGGCGGGTGAAAACATTTCGACACGTTTCCTTACACCTGTTGTCCTGTTCATCTATTCTAGCAGCAAATAGGTACCTGGGTGTTAGTCGACTGGTGTGGGTCGCATCCTGGTGGTACAAAATTGAGGACCCCAATGGAAATAAGTTAGACAGTCCTCGATGACACACTGACTTCCTTGGGTTATCCTGGGTGGCTAACCCTCAAGGGTTAAAAATCCGAACGATATCTTATCTCTTAGCTAAGAAATCAGTTAACGGTGGTGTTAGCAGTGACGGTAATACATACACGACTCCTCCAGCTGCTGCTGCTCCCTTACATCCAACAATAACAACAACACAGCTGCCTGTCACTGTCGTCACCTTTGTTTACCTCACTAAGGACACCACCAAGAACACCACCAAGAACACCACCAAGAACACCACCAAGAACACCACCAAGAACACCACCTAGAGCACCACCAAGAGCACCACTTAACAGTGTTCACCAGTCATCCTGGATACACAGGTGAAAGAGGTAAGCAACAACGATGGTATTATGTATTTGGTGGATAAAGTGTGCGAGGTGAGGATGATATTGAACCAATGACATCCCTCCGGTGGCTCTCGCTTCACACACGGAGGGTCCGGGTTCGATTCCCGGTGGGGTGGATACATTTCGACGTGTTTCCTTACACCTGTTGTCCTGTTCACCTAGCAGCACATAGGTACCTGGGTGTTAGTGGACTGGTGTGGGTCGCATCCTGGGGGACAAGATTGAGGACCACAGTGGAAATAAGACAGACAGTCCTCGATGACACACTGACTTTCTTGGGTTATCCTCGGTGGCTAACCCTCTGGGGTTAAAAATCCTGTGCAGATGCTCTTGCAGCTCATCAATGGTTAGTTCTTCATCATCGTCCTCCACCAACTCTTCTACATCCTCCCCACTAACCTCCAACCCCATGGACTTCCCCAATGACACAATAGATTCCACAACTGGTATAGGTTCCTCAGGGTTAGCCCCAAGCCCTTCAAAATCCCTCTCTTGTACACATTCTGGCCACAATTTCCTCCAATCAGAGTTTAAGGTCCACTTAGTCACTCCCTCCCAAGCCTTACCTATAAGGCTTATGCAATTGAGGATATTGAAGTGATCTTTCCAAGAGTCTCTTAGGGTCAATTGAGTGTCTGAGGTCACTTCAAAGCACTTTTGAACCACTGCTTTGGTGTACAGTTTTTTTGAAATTTGATATGACCTGCTGGTCCATGGGCTGGAGGAGAGGAGTGGTATTAGGAGGCAAAAACTTCACTGTTATGAAGCTCAACTCCCCCACAATTCGTTCTGGCAAGTCTGGAGGATGAGCAGGAGCATTGTCTAATACCAGGAGGCACTTGAGGTCCAGTTTATTTTCCAAGAGGTAATTTTTCACAGTGGGGCCAAACACATGATAGAACCAGTCATAGAAAATGTCCCTAGTGACCCATGCCTTACTGTTTGCCCTCCACATCACACACAAATTAGCCTTGACAACATTGTTTTTCTTGAACACTCTGGGAGTTTCAGAGTGATACACGAGTAGTAGCTTCACTTCAAAATCCCCACTGGCATTACTACAAAACTTTAGAGTTAGCCTGTCTTTTATAGGCTTGTGTCCTGGCAGTGCTTTTTCCTCCTGTGTAATGTAGGACCTGTTTGGCATTTTCTTCCAAAACAGGCCTGTTTTGTCACAATTAAACACTTGTTGGGGCTTTAATTCTTCATAGTCTATGTACTCCTTGAATTCCTGCACATATTTTTCAGCCACTTTTTGGTCACAACTGGCAGCCTCACTATGCCTTATCACACTGTGTATGCCACTATGATTCTTAAATCTCTCAAACCAACCATTGCTGGCCTTAAATTCACTAACATCACTAGTTGTAGGCATTTTTTTAATTAAATCGTCATGCAACTGTCTTGCCTTTTCACATATTATTGACTGAGAAATACTATCTCCTGATATTTGTTTTTTGTTTATCCACAATAACAAAAGCCTCTCAACATCTTGGAGTATTTGCGATCTCTGTTTCGAAAACATACTTGCACCTTTCGCAACAACAGCTTCCTTGATTGCCTTTCTGTTGGCCAAGATAGTAGTGATGGTTGATTGGGGTATGTTATACAGCCTGGCCAGCTCAGAGGCATGCACTCCACATTCATACCTTGTAATTATCTTTCTTCAATTCAACTGTAATTCTCACCCTTTTTACCACAGGGTTGGCACTAGAAGCTTTCTTTGGGCCCATGGTGGCTTATTTAGCAGTTACAAGCACAAAAAGCAATGAAATAATACAAAATGTATCGAATGTATGCGTGAAAGCGTTTGCAGTGGCTTGTAAACAGTGGCACACTAGCTGAAGGCAGGGCAGTTGAGGCGCACTCAGGCCGGACGGCCAGGCAGACGCATTTGGGATGAATGTTGTTAGTCGAGTTTTTCATCGTTGGTCGAGCCAAAATTTTTACGCTCAAACACATCGTTAGCCAATTTTATCATTAGTCAATGCCATCGTTGGTCAAGGGTCCACTGCATCTGTTATTGCCTTACTAACTTTAAGTTAATATTAAGTTCACCATGTGCTAAAATATAATACTGTACCTACCTCTGTTGATATATAAAAAGTGAATGCTCAATTCAAACCAACTATGACCAATATATCTAGTAATAAGTATAGTCTGTAATGTATTAGGCTTAGTCTGCCGGAAATGCCTCGGCATGATAGTGACTGTTTTTGTGTACAGTGGAACCTCAAATGTTGAACGTATCGCTTATCGAACTCTTCGAAAATCGACCGCTTTTTTCGAACCAACTTTGTCCCTATTATCGAACTCACCCCTATTTTCAAGCCGCCAGGTACTGGACCTGTCCGCCAGCCTGCTCTGTCCGTGTTCCCATGCAGGCATCGTGAGCCAGTCTAGCTTTGTTGATGCTTGAGTGAACACTAACCTGTGCTCTCATTCAAACATTTTACGATTAATTCATTGTGTTTAGTGCTTATGGGACTGTGAAATAAGCTACCATGGGCCCAAAGAAACTTGCTAGTGGTGCCCCTGTGGTAAAGAAAGTGAGAAACACCATAGATGTGAAGAAGGAAATAATACAGAATTAGTATGAGAGTGGTGTGAAACTTGCTGAGCTTCCCAGGATGTATGGGAAAAACAAGTCGACCATCACTTCTATCCTGGCAAAGAAAGAACAAATCAAGGAAGCTGATGTTGCAAGAGGTGTTAATATGCTAACCAAAAAAAGATCACAGACAATCGGTCAGGTTAAGAAGTTGTTGCTGGTGTGGATCAAGGATAAAGAGATGGCAGGTGATAATGTTTCAGAGACGATTATTTGCGAAAAGGCAAGGAAGTTGCATGCCGATTCAAAGATTAAGGAGATTTGCGCCAAGTGGAATGATGTCCAAATTTTTGTGGAGAAGTACCATCCTGAGCAAGCTGATACAAGCCATCTTTGCAACAAGTTCAGTGACAGGACCATGTCCCATTTTAGGGAAATCTTAAAGAGGCGCCAGAAACAGAGGACTGTGAACAGTTATTTTGTGAGACAGGGGTCCAGTGACTCTCAAGCTGGTCCTAGTGGCATTAAAAGACAGAAGGGAAGTAACCCCAGAGAGGACTTTGATACCTAAAGTCCTTATGGAAGGGGATTCCCCTTCCAAACACTAACCCCAACTTCCTCTCTCCTCCTCCCTATCTTCCAGATGCCATCACCAATCTTCAATAAAGGTAAGTAAAAATGTTATGTCATATGTTTATTTAAATTTATTAATGCATAATTGTACACTATATTTTTTGTGTGTATGTAAAACTATAATTAATCTCTATAAAATTTATTTTTTTGTGTGAATATTTTTGGGTTTCTAGAATAGATTAATTGTATTTCCATTATTTCTTATGGGAAATATTGCTTCGCTTTTCAAACTTTTCGAATTTAGAACTAGCTCCTGGAACGGATTAAGTTTGAAATTTGAGGTTCCACTGACTTGCAGATCAATATTGTAATTAAACATTGCAAACTATGCATGGAAATAGACTCCTTATAACATGTCAATCACACATAGTAAACTTTGCAAAGAAATAAAAATCTGAATTTGAATTTGAACATATTGGTGCTACTGGTCCATGTTAACCTTTATCTAGCTGATGATTATATCTTTACTGACCCATGAGTGAGACATTACCCGTGAGTGAGACACTACCCATGAGTGAGACACTACCCATGAGTGAGACACTACCCATGAGTGAGACACTACCCATGAGTGAGACACTACATGTGAGTGAGACACTACCCATGAGTGAGACACTACACGTGAGTGAGACACTACCCGTGAGTGAGACACTATCCGTGGGTGAGACACTGTCCATGAGTGAGACATATTACCCATGAGCGAGACACATTTTATTTTTATTTATTTATTTATTAATTTGAACATGATACATAGAAGTACAAGGAAATACAGTGGTTAAGTGTAACATGCCAAAGCCTCTTGTATGCAGAGCATTATGGGCAAGCTTAAAATTAACTTAAGATTAACTAAGCAATGATATATTCAGTGGTAAACATTGTTGTAAAAGTTAATAATTAAGCACAAATGAGTATTTCAAAGACAGGTCATATGGTCATTTACTGTGTTGCTGTGCATTCAGTAGAATGGAGTATTCTGTTAGGTAATGTAATTAAAAATAACAAAGTTTGATTGGGTCACAGATTAAACATTTATGAGATACAATTTATGAGATACAATTATTCAGTATTTATTTAGTTGTGGGTGAGTAAGTGATTTTTAAAAAGAGACTTGAATTTATAAACAGACAGTGTTTCTTTTATATTCACAGGTAATGAATTCCAGATTTTTGGCCTTTTATGTGCATTGAGTTTTTGCATAGTGTGAGATGGACACGAGGAATATCAAAGAGTGATCTGTGCCTTGTGTTATGGTCGTGTGTTCTGTTGAGGTTGGTAAGGAGACGTTTGAGGGAAGGGTTTATATCAGAGTTAAGTGTTCTATGTATGTAGTAGGTACAATAATAAGTATGGATGTTTTGTATGGCAAGTAGGTTTAGAGTTTTGAATATTGGTGGAGTGTGCTGCTTGTAGTGCGAATTTGTTATTCTGACTGCAGCCTTTTGTTGGGTAATTAATGGTCTGAGATGGTTTATTGTTGTTGAGCCCCATGCACAAATTCCATAGGTGAGATAGGGTAAATAAGTGGTGATATGGGGCCCAGGAGGGCTGACTGGGGAAACCCATAGTACCATATCTTCGATATTTAGGGCCTATGGTCTTGGAAATTTTCTTGGAAATTTGTTGCATATGTGTTTGAAATTTGAGTCTATTATCAAGGTGGATTCCTAAGAATTTTCCCTCTGAGAGCTTTGTAATAGGTGATCCGTTTATCATTATGTTAAGAGGGACATTTGTAGCTCTGTTACCAAACTGAATGAAGTAGGTTTTGTCAATGTTGAGAGTAAGTTTGTTAGTCCTCATC